TTGTTGACAAGAAGTTGCGTCTTTCATGCATACCTGTCAACCTTCCCGTTTTTCCCAGGATTCTCCTGGATTTTACAGTTTTATCCCGCTATCATCCCGTAAAGGTATTTTCCTGTATTTCTTCCATATTTTCAATGTTTTCAAGAAGGGTGGCAATATACATTAAAGGGCCGATCCTCACTATACGCAAACCATACACTTTAAAATAAAGAGAAAAATGGCGGAATTCCCTTCCTTTCCATTACAGGGGCCATTGCCCCTCTATGCAATCCATAAAACATGTAGTGGTACGTGACTGTCAGACATATTACATATTGATAATTGGACGCTGTTTCCTAAATGGATTCTGTACACATGATTTGAGGAGGAGTGAAAGTGGACACTCTGGGTTTTGGGTGCCTGTTTGAACAGAAATATACAAATAATAATAACAATAACATCTAAACATTGATCTTGGTTGGTAAATTTTTTTTATATCCTTTATTTTCACATCCCAATGTTGACAGGTTTTATGTCACCAGGCAACGAATCAATCAGCTTACTATTGTGCGCGAGTGTTGCTGTTGATATTGATATAATTTTAATATTTAATGATATTGTTAAATTGTAAAAGATTTGTGAATCATACAACTCATGTTTTTGAGTCCTAACTCAAAACAGCAACCACAAGTCTCTCCTCCATCTTAAAGTCTCCGTGCTTTACAACACACTTTAGTCACCTCAATGGAAACTCTGCCTCTGCTTTCATTAGATTGGAGAATGAAAAGACAACACTGACATAACACACTTTTTCCACTCAGGTGCAGCAGGCAGGTAAATTGTGAGGTGTGCAGGGCGCATAAGCAGTGCTTGCAGCTGATAGTAAATCATTCAAAAGACATGCCTCTCAATGCAAAAAGCGCCTTCAGTGTGATCGACCCCTAATTCAGGAACTAAAGTTGAGTGAGTTGTGAAATTTCAACTGATTTTCAAAAACACAGATTTATTCAAGAATAAAACAAGTGAATTGTTAAATTGTTTATTCAACTGATTTGTTCAAAAATGCTGACACGATCAAGAATGAAACGACTTTGAGGAATGTGTTTTGTTGTAGAAGAATTTAAAAAAAAAACATTAATTCAATAACAAACAAGTCAACTAAGTGAATATTCAGAACAGTCAAGGCCTAAAGAATTCATACCCCTGTCAAATGCTAACTTAAACTTTATGTTCAAATTTAAATAAAAAAATGACGCCTCGTGTACAGTGTCTTATTATCTTTTTGGATATGCATGTGTCATACAAACTCTTGCTGGTCAAATAAAAGTAACTTTAAGTCAGAATTTGTCATGAATAATTTTAGGCTTGACTGTCAGTACAAACAAAAACTCAAGTTATCATTCAAGTTTATTAAACATTTATCATTAATCCAATTAGGCAACAGTACTAATGTTTAAGTTAAACATTTTCATCCAATATTTATATTTCATTTGTGCTGGAAAACTTAAAGAAAACTTTTAGTAGGATACTAATATGACTTAAAATAAATTCCATCTGATTGTAATTTATTTATAATGTACTTCATTTCTTTTAAAGAAAGGAAACTCCTGAGTTTGGAGAGGTTGAGTGTCATTCTGTTCTGAATCAATGAGCTGAATGCACTTTCACCACTCAGACTTTCTTAACACACTTCCTGAGCCTATATCACTGTCTTACACTCAGCTTAGCTGACTGAAAATCACTGAGAGTGCACGGCCCTTCACATGGACAGCATGTGTGTAAAGAGAAACAGTTGGAGGTAGATGAGTGGAAAGAGTGGAAAAGGTTAGTCAGGGGTTTGACCTTTATAATCCCCCTCAGACCGAAGCATAAGAAAGCTAATGTGAATCAGAGTGTGTTTGTGTAGCTGTACATGAAAAAAACTCTCACTCATCTCATCCTTAACTGTTGCTTTAAAAGTGCACAACAGGCTGGAGGTCCTCTTTAAATACAGACTGGTTTCATCAACCATCACTCACTGCTCATAAACATCTTGACACAAAACACACGTTAAATAGCAGATCTCTTCAGCAAATGGAGTAAACACGCAGAGACAAACACACACAGTCAGGCTGTCTAACCATCACATATCGGTAATTACACACAGCAACTGACACTTCATTTTTCATCTTGTTTGTCACAGAAGAGCGAGTGTTTGAAAGCAAAAGAAGACAAAACTGAACTAAAAAGCTCAGAACATTTTTCATATAAACTTTCATTTGAAATGTAGAACAAGAGTCTCCTGGTTTGGGTTCTGGAATGTCCTTGAATTTGGGGCCGTGACCCGGATAGAGACTGAAATCAAAAATAGTCAGAAAGAAATGAAGCGCTAAATTAGATTTTCTGATATTTTCACAATGGTGACTTTGTGTTGTGTATTATTTAGTTGTTGTTTTAAGTTTACAATCTATATCATGTAGACATGTAATGTTTGTAATGTAGCAATTGACTAGTAATAAGATGATAGACCAGTGTCTCATACTTATCCATTATCTAATTGTCCAAATGAGAGGATGCTACACTTAATTATTCATGACAGCACACATTGATTTTTACAATGCAAGATTAAAACTCAGAATTCTGCACTCTATGGGCCCCATCATACACCATGGCACAATAAGCCACAAGATGTGAATGTTGCGATTTGTTGCTACTTTCAGACCAGCGCAACCATAATTTTCATGTTTCGCGCCACATTGTTAAAATAGTAAATAAATTTGCATCACTTTGTCGACACTTTGTGGCATGCCAGTCTAAAAAAACGTGTGTTAAAACGGGTGTAGGAGCGTTGCTAATTTTAGGAACTGAAATAGAGTGTGCCATACACCAACTATAAGTGGGTTCAACCAATGTGGGTCCAAACACTTACATATTGCTTAATGCACACAGGATGTACAGCGACACACAAGTATCTTTCTTGTATATAAAAAAAGGATTAAAATGTTACAAAAATTATTATTTTCTGCATAAATATAAAAATCACTGCCTTCATGCCTCATCTCAGTGGGCTTTTTCAGTTTATTCATCACAATTTGCATTTGTATAATATTATTATTAGCTGTATTATTTATCATATGCATATTTATATTTGTTTTAATAAAAACAAGTTTAAATTTGTCCAACTGTCGGGTTTTAGAGATGTATACTTTACCATATGGGGCATAAGAATAGGATGCATGCTTGGATATATACTTTTTGCCCACACTTCGTTATTATTGTTCATTTATTCGTTTGCTGGAAATTAAAACTGAATTTAGAAATGTTTTTATAACAAATCTTTGCGCTTAAACAAAATTAAATATGTAGGCTAGAGGATGTCTACGGTGCAGTCTAGTAAAGAGAAAGTAAAGAGGCCGAATGGAGGAGGCTCGTTCTTTATCCTTGCACTGCAGATGGTCTGTTTAACTGTATTTTCATTAGTGAAGCATTCTGTTTTTCCACTTACAAAGTCCGCCATGTAAATAGGAAGCGTAAATAGAAATAGAAAAGACTCTGATTGGTTTAATGCACGTTATGCTCAAAACACACCCATAACTCATTAAGAGAATGAGCACAACACTCTTAGACTATGCACCCGGGCACAGAGTGTATTTTTCTATTCTTAAAATAGAAAAAGTGGATTTGGACAAATCCTTAATGCTTTTGGGCCATTCGCTTTAGACTTTGCGTTTAGATTGTTAAAATAGAGCCCTGACAATAAAGACACAAACTTTGAATTTAGAAAAAAACTATACACTTAAGTCTATATCTCACAATTCTGAACAAAAAAATCAAGATGCAAGATGTAAACTCACAATTTTGAGGGACAAAAGTCAGAATTGTGAGACAAACTGACAACTGAAAGAAAAATCTCTTGAGTTTTTTTCCTCCTATGGCAGAAACAATTGTCCATAAAGAGCAGAAAGAAGCACAGAGATTTAAAAATAGCTCTTTTTGAGTAAACAGTCGCGGTCTTGTTGTAAGAGCGGAAATCAGTGCATAACTCATTTAGATCATTACCTCATTCTGCTACTATTAGGTTACAATGCTGAAAGTACTTGGCTCTTTATCCGCTAACCTCCAAAAAAACACATGCTTTATCTCCATATCCGAACTGTCAAATGAGTCACTACACAAGCATCATCTGATAACCGCAGAGCACAGGATGAATGATATTAAATACAGATAAAGTAGTATAAACTCAACTCTCCTGCCTGCCAGTGCCAAGACAGCAATCTCCTCATTTAAAGAACTAAAAATCAATGTCACTGGACCGGCTCTCTAAAAGGCTGAAATGTAATCCCTACTCTGAATGAATCAGGACATTTCTTGTGCTTTTCCTGCAGGCTGCATAACAGAGAGATTAAAACAGAGCCGATCAGCACGCCAGTGTTTGTGGCACTGGAGTTGGCAGTGGGTTGGTTTGTAATGTAAACATGCACTTTGTCCAACCACTAAGCTTTATGGCTGTTTGCAGTGTTTCGAGGCAGACAACAGCTTTGGGTTATGTCATATAAATTATAAACCACATAACCATTAGAACCTCTATTGGAAAGCATTTAACAGGAATCCGAAGAAATCTTGGCACTGGTTATGTAACAAAGTCCATTTTAGATTTGCAATAACTCACATTTTTCCAGAATTTTCTGCACTGTGTTAAAACCACAGTAAATACAGGTTTATATTCAAATAATAACTCAGAAAAAGCTTTATAATATGACAATATTGCCATTTAACCCTGTATCATGGTACACATTGCATGCAAGAGAGCTTGGGTTGCCAGATATGCTTAAGTTCATGAAGTGACTATGTGTTATTGACATTTTCATATATAGCCGAAAGCACAGATGCGCTACTTTCAATACAAGTTACTGTAATCAGTGTATGGTATTAATATATAATCCATTTAACGTGGTATTTAATTATTTTAGCCTTAGAATAGAATTGAATACACTGATGCAACACGCAACTCTGAAATGTGCGGTGTAAACATGTTCACTCACCGCCACAGATCCGGACGAGGACGCGATGTATACTCTGATGACCATCCTAATCCTCACTTGCCCTCTCACGACAGAACGACGGCCGGAGATGTTGCGCTCTCTCTTTTTCTATAGACTTCTTTGGAGCTGCCGTGACGTCAGCTTCACCCTTTGAAATTAAAGTGAGTGCGCGCGCCCCGTGTGTTATAATAAAGCCGCTCGCGCTCCATCAGTGCACTTCACTCCACCGCGACCGAGACGCACACTCACAGAGGCAGCGCTTATCCTCTGGCTCCAGCGCCAGACGGGAATCATGGGAAATGTAGTTCCTATTTCCTACATAAAAAAAAGAAAGTTTTTAAAGAGATAGTTCATTCCTAAATGAAAATGTATTCACTATTTACTCTCTGTGAAGTGGTTCCAAACATTTACGAGTTTATTTCTGCTCATGAACACAAAAGATGATATTTTGAAAAATGTTAGAAACCTTGAGGGCTCTATTGACTTCCATAGTATAGAAAATGTAATATAAAATACATATAAAATACAAATATGCAATGGGTTTTTAAGTGAGTTGCTCTTCTCGACATGTTTTCTGGAGCATAGACTACAATGTAAACCAGAGGTGCCCAAAGTAGGGCTCGCAGGCTATAGTTGGCCCCTGGTAACCTTTGGTTTGGCCTGCCATGCCATCTGAAAAGAGAGGGAAAATGATGGGCAGTTGGTTGGAGGTGAATGCCTTGACAGAGATGTCATTTCGAATTGAATATAAACTTTTGTTTCTTTGTTTAATTGAGGAGCTACAAAAAGCCAACTAAAATCAAATGTGGTAAATGAATCAGACTTAAAATGTAAATACTGTCACTGACAGATGCAAAAGACTTCAGCAAACAAATCAAGGTAAAGGCAAGAGCAGCTCGACTTGTTTTTACTATAATAAGTTCATTATAAAATGTTAAAAATGATACTGCATCATTATTTAATATGTTTTAAAGCAATGATTTCTAGTTGTTTTTAATTAATACTCAAATAAATTGGAAATGCCAACAGCAAATTTAATGTAATGTGGTTTGGTATCTTTAACTTCGGCCCACAGCCCTCAATCAAGTTTGGTTTTTGACCCTTTATAAGAAAAAGTTAAAAGTTTGGACACCTCTGATGTATATATATATATATATATATATATATATATATATATATATATATATATATATATATATATATATATATATATATATATATATATATATTTTTTTTTTTTTTTTAACATCTTATACTACTCTGAATAAAAAAACATGACTAATGTGTAGTGAAACATGGATCTAGAGAAATCGAGCACAGATGCACAGGGAGCAGAACAAATATATGAAAGTGCCTATCCGTAAGTGACAATGAGCTGCCATAAGAAAACATTTTGGAAATCAGTGTATGATGCAGTAAACATATGCAGAGCAGTGGGATCCAAGTTTTCATGTCCCAAAATCCCAGAATGCACTGCGCTGTATAATGGCACATTCTCATTAAGATCTATTGCATAACATATAAGCAATTCCATGCAAAAGTTAACCTTGCCATGAAAAAAGTTTTCAACAAAATAGAGAAACTGTTTCGACATTTTTGTTAGCATTGTGTTAGCAAGTATTTCACAGTAGCCAAATTTGAAAATACTCAAAAATTTCACTGCTAATTTTTTCAAACAATTTTACCAAATTTCACATCAGCCACATCCATAACGGAAAAGTGTCACTTCCATAACGATGCTTCTTCCTCATAAATGTCAAATAAAATAAAATCATTCATTGTAGTTCTATAGAGAGCCAGCTCTTATTCTTTTGATTAGCACTTTATCTTTTGGGTTGTGCAGTTTAATTCACAGAATTCCTACAAGTATACTGTAAACTCGCAGACTTTTTAATTTTATTTTCCTCATTTAAAGTATGAAAAATGTTTACAGTTTAACATTTTTCTGATCCTATAACTCTGTGGTTAGTTGTTTAGGAAAATATAAGCAGATGTTTCAATATAATGTTAGCAAATAGTTTCTATGTGAATTGATGTCTTGGGTTTATATTGCAAATGTCACATGCATAACGCTGGGATTGCTCCTATGCAGAATTATTGTTATGTAGGATGCGACAATGTTATTGACGTAACACTGGCTGGATAAGTGGTCATTTTAAAAAAACAACACCAGAAGCTAAATTGTCTGATATTTGTGGATTTTTCTTTGTGTGCCCAAGGTTCATGTTTTGCCAAACACAGTCGACTCTGCCAGGAGTCGACCAAGCGACCTTCTTGCTGTCAAACGACAGTGCTAACCACTGAGCCATCGTGTCGCTTTATTTTAATTTTAATTGTTATTTTATTCTGACATTTATTTGATCGTTTGTATTTAAAAGAATAATACTATTAAACTATTAAAATATAGATATTCCGCCCGTGTTGTCTGTCAAATATTAGGCCTAATATGCCTATATATTATTCGCGCTCAACAAGTGGTGACGGACAGGCGCGCGCACGTTGCCATGGCGAAGCGTCACTATGACACCGGTAGCAGAAGGCGAGGCGTGGATTCAGAGATTTCACCAACTCCTTCAGAAAGCACATATTTCTTTTCAAGATTCCCTCTCCGCCATAATCGACCTCAGATGATGCTTTATTAAAGGACAGGCGAAAAACAACCGCGTTCGCCCTCTATTTACAGTATCGCATAGCGTTTTTGCTAATCGTTTGGCGTCGTCTATTTGAGTGTTGTGTGTTGTCCTAGATCACCATATAATCCCAGCTAGCTCGCCATGTAGCTGGCTAGCGAGTTTGTGAGCCGTTAATCGAGCCATGTTATGAAGAAACTGAATAATACATGGTTATGGATACTTAGTCGGATGATAAACTGGTAAGTAGCCTGCTAAAATTATTTCACACGCGTTTTTCAAATGTAACGTTACGTTCAGCCTTTGCTATTTTTATCTTTGGGTAACACTGCATACTAACAAAGGTGGTAAATAAGAAACACAATCAGTTTCTTCCATGACACAAAGACATGTATCCTGTAGCCTGGCATTGTTTTGTTTTAAATGAAGACGTGCTTTCTTGTTTATGGACACCTGTAGTTGGACTAAGTTGAGTTTTACAATCATAAAGCTCTTTATTAAGGTAAAGATGGTTTTATATTCGCACATTTGTTCAGTGACAGCTTCATACATTGTTTACATTCGTACTTTGAATATTCGGACTGAAATCACTTGTATGACTTTAAAACAACATTGGCACTGTTAAATTGACTGTAAACAATGTTGTACTTTGATGGTTGTTGGCTGCTAAAATGATTTCACTATTAATAATTTGCAATGAATACTTTAAATATACTGAATATACTTTATATATATACTGAATAGTGAAATTATATTATTAAGGAGAAAGTCTGAATGTGCGAATATAAAACCAACTTTACCTCAATAAGCTGTGTTGTGTTACGGCCCTCTTTTAAGTCTAAGAGTTTTGTTTAAAAGGTGTAACAAGACTAAAATTGGGTAAATAATAGTGATTTAGAACTAAAAATATAAAAATACGCCTGGAGAACACACTTCAAACCTCATCCCCTGAGTGAAGAGTCAGCACAAGTTTTAGAAATATAAACATGAATTTATTTAATAAAAGTATTGGAACTTTAACAGAAACTAGATGTCAAACTGAGTGAGTATAGCCTAAAACAACAAACAGAAAGCAACTAACCAAGTTTAGAAAACTAGCTTACCTAATGCAAAAGTCAAAGATGAAAATCAAAAACAGAAACTTCCCTGAGCTTCCTCTCTCAACCATAAACAAGTGAAAAGATATACAAAATAAAACAACTTTAGATAGTTTGTGATGTTTAGCAACAATAGTTGGTATAAATTTATCACAGTTTAATATATATTTCTGAATTATAACCTTCATATATTAATATCATAAATTTAGATTCATATTTACTCCAGTTAATCAGTTTTATTAGAATATCAATCAAACGGGCTGATGTTTGTGGTTGTTATGGTTACTGAGATTATTCAGACTGACCCTGTCAAGTGCAGATGGTTCAGTGTTTTATGACAGGTTCATACGTCCAAAACAATGTGCAATGAGCTCCAGGTTGGCAATTTGAAAAGGTTTTGGGATTTGACTTGATGACTAAATTTCATCTATGTACAAATGAATAAATAAATAATGCATGCTTGTTTGCTTGTATCAGTTTTGTAGTTATTTATAGATAATATAATTTTTTAAGTCCACAAATAAGTCTTTGACAACTAAAATAGTTTTATCTTTATTAAAAATGTTTTCAGAACACGCTGGTTATTAATTAAACTTGGGTCAAAGATAAGAAATACAATTCTCATGTTTGTTTCAAATTACAATCACATAAATCATTTTATATGCATAAAAAACAGCCTCTAAAACATGAATGTGTACTTTAATGTTTCAAATAACTTTTTTGTACCAATAAAATGTCAAAATATGGGTGAAATATTGTTCCATTGTCATCAGGTACAGCATATCCTAATGTAAAAATGAAACTTTGCTTATTATAACCTGTACTTCTAATTTAAAAGGGAAACTGAATTAATTATATTTTATATTATTAAAACTTATTTTATTTTTGTATAACGAAGTGGCTTAAAAGAAAGTACCAAAATATTAAGATTTTAAATATTATATTATTATTTTGGGGCTGCTCTGTGATTTTCTTTCTTCTAAAGATATACTTGAGAAGGTCAATATTTTAGATATTACACTGGGTGCACAGATGTCAAAGCCAGTTCTGGAGGGCCGCAGCTCTGCACAGTTTAGTTCCAACCCTAATTAAACACACCTGATCATACTAATTGAGTGCTTTAGGCTTGTTTGATACCAGCAGATAGGTGTGTTGAAGCAGGGCTGAAACTAAACTCTGCAGGGCTCCGGCCCTCCTGGAATGGACTTTGACACCCCTGTTCTTAAGGCATATTTACACAGCAAACACTGGAACCTAACCTGAAGTGGATAACATTTTTTTTTAAGTATGTGTATGTTATTTATTTATATGTTCATTATATTAATGACTATTATCTATTATATGATCTATTTTTCATTATAGATCAGTGGACTTTATTCTGAATTCTGAGCAGGCACAGACCCACTTTAAGACCGCCTTAAATCGGCTGTGTGAAGATGACTTAAGTTATGGTAAAAATGTA